AAAAAATCTTGGCAATTTAGCTTGTGAAAGCAAACACCTTGTTCTTTCCACAATGGTGCGGTTTATCCTCTCGACAACGCCATTTTGTTGAGGAGTCTTCTTAACTGTCTTTTGGTGCCGAATACCTTGGCTACGACAATACTCATCAAATGGCCCAATGTATTCACTACCATTATCTGATCGGATGCACTTCAATTTTTGTCCTGTTTCTCTTTCAACTATGGCCTGAAAATGCTTAAATACTTCTAGAACTTGATCTTTAGTTTTTAGTAGAAAAGCTCAAACTTTCCTTGAATAATCATCAATGAAAGTAACAAAATAAAGTGCACCACTATGTGTTCTAACTTTTAAAGGACCACAAACATCCGAATGAATCAACTCCAAAACATTTTCTTTTCTAGAAGCAACATTTTTATGAAAAGAAACTCTATGTTGTTTACCCGCCAAACAATGAACACAAGTTTTAAGATGTGTACCTTTCAAACCGGGTATAAGCTCTTTCTTAAACAAAACTTGTAGCTCCTTTTCACTCATATGGCTAAGCCGCTTGTGCCACAATTCGGTAGAAGTATCATCTTCAAGTGCATTGACAACACCTTTACAAATTTTTCCTTGCATCGAATAAAGTGTATGAGTCTTCTTGCACTTAGCTACCACCAAAGAACCCTTTTTGAGCTTCCATATTCCATCACCAAATTTGTTGTTGAATCCTTCATCATCTAGCTTCCTAGTAGAGATCAAATTGAGGCGAATGTCGAGAACATGCCTCACATCTTTAAGCAACAACTTGCAGCCCAAATTTGTTTCCAAGCAAACATCACCCATGCCAATAATCTTGGACAAACCTTCATTACCCATTCGAACAGAACCATAATCTCCTTTGATGTAGGTAGTGAAGAAATCAACTCGAGAAGTCACATGAAAAGAAGTACCAGAATCAATCACCCAATTGCTCTCTTGGCCCACAAAATTGATACAATCATCTTCACAAACGATCATGAGATCATCAGCAGTAATTGCTGTTGTGTCTTCTTGCTTCTTATCCACACTTTTGTCACGCCTTTTCTCCTTGTTCTTGAGCTTTCGACATTCTTGTTTCATGTGCCCTTTCTCATGCCAAAAATAGCACTCAATGTCTTTCTTTGAAAAAGAACCATCTCTTGATTTGTCACGACTTTGATCACGACCATGAGAAGTCTTACTTCTCTCCCTTGTTTTTCTTCGGCCTCTTACAACAAATGCTTCTAAATGAGAGGAACTCGCTGATTTCCTATCATAAAGGCCTTTTAATTTTTTTCATAAATCATATGCTGAAGTTTCAGTAGCAACATAATGAAACACACTGTCATCGATCCATTGACGGATAACACCAACGGCTTTTCGATTAAGCCTATTCCATTCATCATCTTTCATACCCTCGGGTTTGCCATTATCACCCTGAATGGGTCCATACAAATCTTTACAAAATAATAGGTCCTCCATTTTAGTTTTTCAAGTTACCCAATTGCTTCCATTGAAGCTAGATATACGACCCACATTCCTCTCCATTGATTTACACAAATAAATAAACCCAAATAAACTGTAAGCTCTGATACCAGTTGTTAGGGAAAATATGTGATTCCCCACAAGTAAATCAATCAATGGGAATAAAAACTAATGCGAAAAAATTAAATCAAAGGCAACACAAGAATTTTATGTGGTTCCCTCAATGTGAGGTACGTCCATGGGATTGAAATCCGATTCCACTATCAACCAAATAAGTTTCCAAACGATTACAAACGAGAGACGAATAGTCTCACAAAACCACCCTTAGGTGAATTCCAAATAATCACAAATAAACAAAGAGGAAAAATCTCACAAAATAGATGAACCAAAATCTTCAAAACCAGAGTTGAAGAAGACCCAAAATAACGAGCCAAACTATGCTTCGAAAGAATGGACAACAGCAGTATCAACTAATCAAGCAATAGTATTGCCCAAACACCAATTGAAAATCACACAGCAAGCTTATTCAATTAACCACTGAATTGACTTTTTGACCAACCACTGTTGCTCTTTCACAGGAAAAAGCCACCAAATTTTGTATGTATAGCAGTTGTTCCCTTGCTTTTGAAAAAACATTATATCTATATATAATGTTAAATCTTGGGTTTGTTTTCTCAAAACCCTAGTTGTTACCAAATTAGATTGAGTCTCCACAAATTAGATATAATGTCTTTGAAACTTCGAGTTATCTTCGTTGACATATATTCTTGTCCTTGTAAACTGTTCCAATCTTATGTTATCTTTTGAGTTGAGAACTGGGTTTTGGAGTTTTGTTTAAAACAGGTTGAGATTAGTATTTTTGGAGTGATTTTGGCTGCGTGAACTTGAACGATGGTTTGGTTGTTCGAGCAGTCTTTTCTTTCTTTCAGTTTTGGGTTTGCAATCTAAACTTCTAAGAGTTTGTCTTCTTCATTAAACGTAGGTTTTGTTACTTGAGCGGTCCTTGATGTTTAATGCTCGAGTTCAGGTTTCGTCGCTCGAGCGATCTGTTCAATAGAGATGAAATTCTAGGAGTTTGATTTCTTTGCTCGAGCTTAGTTTTGGACGCTCAAGCGATATGTTGCGTCTGACACTCGAGCGTAAATTTTTATCGTTCAAGCAATCTATTTGAATAAAGTTGTAAGGAAAGTTACATTTCGATCACTTTTTGCTCCTTCTCTCTCTATAACCTATCTTTCCTTTTTTGCTCTCATCTTTCTCTAAAAACCTTGCTTAAATTCTCTGATCTACCTTGTGGCATTTCAAATGTTTAATTAATTTGAACACTACACTAATAACTAATCATGATAAAAAATAAAATAAAAAAGCTAAAATATAATTTAATTTAAGTTAGGGGTCATTATATTCTGAAAACAACAATTAAAAAAATTAATGTAATTAATTTAGTATTTAGACCATAGAATAATTAGGTATTTGTTTAGTTAAACTTTGCCTTTGTTTTTATAACTTGCTCAGTAGATTAAGGATAAAAACAATGCAACCGTGATTTAGAACTCTAAACAGCAGGTAAGCCAAAAAAAAAAAATTAAAACTACGTCACATCCTCTTGTCAACCCCACCTCTAAAGCTCCTTTTAGAGCTCCTCGAGAGTTCCCAAACATTTCGCAAAACAATGGATGAGAACAAGGTAAGATAAGGCCACGTGCTCAGCATCCAAAGCTTGAATCACCTATAAACAGGTGTGGTGAGTTTGTACTTAATGGAAGGAAGGGGAAACAAAAAAATAAAAAAAAAACAACAACAAACGAGAAGTATAGGAAAGGAAATGAGCCAGCCAGTGAATGTTGAAGAAAAATTAAGAATAGTTTTATTTTTGAGCTAATATAAATTATACTTCGTAAATTATATTAGCTTTTATTATTTACTTAATGAGTTCTATTAATTTTTTAAAAAAAACTTATGGATATAATTATTTATTAAATGTGTTTTTGGAAATAACTTGATAATTGATAATGTAAACAATTATTCCATAAGTACCTCTATGAAGGTTTCATGTATTGAGAGACGTAAATAGCTATTGATTCTTTGATTAGTCACTTTAGTGATCATCTGTTTGTCAGGAATCTATTAACCCTTGTTCTGTACTATTTTATGATTATTTTGCTTATATGATTTATATATTGTATTTCTGTTATTTAAAATAATGTATTTATTCAAATCAAACTATTCATTGTTTAGCCTCAATAATTATCCATAGTGACTTGCATACCCCTTATGCTTTTAGTATAACATTTATCATTCTGCCATGCACTTTATAACTGTTAAACGGTAATGAAACTTAGGGAGGAGTTTTTACCCCATAAAGAAAGACCAAGGCTTGGAATAAATACCATGTTTTTTTATTTGTATTTATTATTTGGCTTTTATTTATATTAATTCCAATTATTTTATATGGATATTCAGTGTAGAACAAAATATATTTATCCAGATATTTTAATTCCAAACATATGAAATTTGTTTGAATACTCAGTGCCGAATCAATTCAAAAAACCAACCTACAAAAAATGATAAAAAAATTCCTAGGCAATGTTTTATTCATTATCAATTATCAATTTCAATATGAAATAAAATATAAGAATGGTGGGTTAAAGCAAATAGGGTTGAGTTAGGATTAGATATGAAGATTGGCGCCGTTTGGGAAGGGATTTTGTGGATTTTTTTGACTATTTTAGTCACAAAAGACAAAATATGTTATTTTAGTTACAACAAACAAAATATCACATCTAACTCATAATCATCACATTATTCTCTCACAAAAAAAGTCAAAAAATTTAAAAAATCAAAAATTCTTCCCAAACTAAACTTTTTAACATATGTTAAAATAACCAAAAAAATTAAAAAGCGAACCTACTTCCCAAACTAATCTTAAATATTATAACTGATGATTAATGTAGTGTCAGAAACGTTTTTATTTACACTTTTTTTTATAAATAAAATACTTTTTAATCATTTTATATAGAAATTTAATAAAAATAAATAAAAAATATTATTAAATTGAAATACCCAACTTGCATTTTGTGGGTACTCCTCATCTACTATGATATGAGTGGTTAACATTTCTCATTTAAATTTTATCCAATTTAATTGAGAGTTTCCATTGCCTTTTGAAAAAAAAGAAAAAGAAAAAGAAAAGAAAAAAATTGTAGTCCCAACTCCCAAGGCGAGGAGGCATGGAAAGTCAGTAGACCGGTAAGAGTTGAAGAATATGAGACAAACCCTACATATTAGCACAAGAACGAGAACAAGAATATGAGAGACGACAGAGAGAATTAAGCTTTCCTTTAATGGAAGTCACTTCCCATCTTAAATTTAACAATTTTCTCTTCCGACCCTCCACTCCACTTCGTCTCTGTATGTCCCTCTCTCTCTCTCTCTCTCTCTCTCTCTCTCTCTGTACACTTTTCGTATCTTCAAATTAAGATGTCTTCTCAAATGGGTCTTTGCCATTATTGCAGTAGAGTTAGAGGTGGTAATGGTTGCAAAGTTGGAGACGACAATGGTAGCTTGTGAGTATAAAGTTCTTCTTTCCTTAATTTTCTTGCGAAAATGGAGGAAAATAAGAGATGGGTTCTGCTAATTGTTTTGTTTTACTGTTTTTAATGTTGTTCTGAGGTTAAGTACTGTTTGGATGAGCAATTAATTGAAGTGGGTTATGCGTTGATTGTATTTTTGGTGCAGGATGTTGATGTGGGAAGATGGGTTTTGCAAAGGAAGAATTGCAGATTGTTTGGAAGAAATTGATGGAGGTGAAGATCTTGTCAAGAAAGCCTTCAGCAAAATGTCCATTCAGTTATATAATTATGGAGAAGGGTGGGTAATTGGTAGGTCTTATTTTAAATTATTGTTTTAACATGAAATCTCTCTCTCACATATAGTAATTTTGGGGAGTAAAATTGATTATACAAATAAAAAAATTGGCTAAATCTTTAGTGCTCCTCTTCGATTATATCGCAATGTGTTTGAAGTTATGACTCAATGACATTATATCCTATCTCTATTATCTTATTGAGTTGTAATTGTAACTCAAAATTACGATTCAACATGATTGTTGCATAATTAAAAACATTATGTTTTTATTGAAGAGTCTAAGCATGATCAACACCCTCTTCGATTGTATCACAGTGTGTTTGAAGTTATGATTTAATGATATTATATTGTATCTCTATTATCTTATTGAGTTGTAATTGTAACTCAAAATTACGATTCAACATGATTGTTGCATAATTAAAAACATTATGTTTTTATTGAAGAGTCTAAGCATGATCAACACCCTCTTCGATTGTATCACAGTGTGTTTGAAGTTATGATTTAATGATATTATATTGTATCTCTATTATCTTATTGAGTTGTAATTGTAACTCAAAATTACGATTCAACATGATTGTTGCATAATTAAAAACATTATGTTTTTATTGAAGAGTCTAAGCATGATCAACACCCTCTTCGATTGTATCACAGTGTGTTTGAAGTTATGATTTAATGATATTATATTGTATCTCTATTATCTTATTGAGTTGTAATTGTAACTCAAAATTACGATTCAACATGATTGTTGCATAATTAAAAACATTATGTTTTTATTGAAGAGTCTAAGCATGATCAACACCCTCTTCGATTGTATCACAGTGTGTTTGAAGTTATGATTTAATGATATTATATTGTATCTCTATTATCTTATTGAGTTGTAATTGTAACTCAAAATTACGATTCAACATGATTGTTGCATAATTAAAAACATTATGTTTTTATTGAAGAGTCTAAGCATGATCAACACCCTCTTCGATTGTATCACAGTGTGTTTGAAGTTATGATTTAATGATATTATATTGTATCTCTATTATCTTATTGAGTTGTAATTGTAACTCAAAATTACGATTCAACATGATTGTTGCATAATTAAAAACATTATGTTTTTATTGAAGAGTCTAAGCATGATCAACACCCTCTTCGATTGTATCACAGTGTGTTTGAAGTTATGATTTAATGATATTATATTGTATCTCTATTATCTTATTGAGTTGTAATTGTAACTCAAAATTACGATTCAACATGATTGTTGCATAATTAAAAACATTTATGTTATAATTGAAGAGTCTACGCATGATCAACACCCACCCTTTAAAGGATGCACATTAGACATCGTTTTAAATTTTTCATTATTAGTATTATTATTTTTGTTACTATTTTTGACTTGTTTGGTGTAGCTTATGAGGACTACTTATCCCTTTTTCATTTTGAAAGTCTTTTCAGAATATTTGATTCCTTTTAAAGTTTATGAGGCGAAAATAACTTGATAAAAATGGGTACTTTTTGCCTTTTTATTTTCTGATTAACAAGTGAACCAGATAGATATGGTTGTGTTTTAATTGGGTAAATTGGTCTGATCTGATCAGGTTGATGGGGAAGGTAGCTTCTGATAAGTGTCATAAATGGGTCTTCAAAGAACCAACTGAATGTGAACCAAATGTCTCCAACTACTGGCAGAGCTCTTTTGATGCTGTAAGTACTAAAAAAAGAAAAGAAAAAACGCACTCACATCACACCTCTCCTTATCTTTCCTTTTCTTTTTTCTTTTTGATCATTCATTTTCCAATCATAAAACATAGTAGGAGGTGTTATGATATTATTGGAAAATGAACTTTCATAAATTAGACTCAAGTCTCAATCAATCATTGTGAAATTATTGGCATAAATAATGAATCATATGTACCCTTTTTTCATTTTATTAATTGCAGCTTCCCTCTGAATGGACTGATCAGTTTGAGTCAGGCATTCAGGTCAGTATCAATAGTTGAAAAAAATGTTGTGGTCTCCGTTTTTTGTGTTGTCAACAACGTTCTTCTATTTTCTTGCTGTTTTGCTTAGTATGTGTTTATTTATTTATTGTTTGTCTTGTTCAGACCATAGCTGTAATTCAAGCTGGCCATGGCCTTCTTCAATTGGGTTCTTGCAAGATTGTGAGTTTCATTTTTTTCTCCCTTTTAATCTATTGTGAGTTTTTGCATTGTGATCCATGATCAATTAATAAAAATATCACGAATGTACATGTTAGCAACATAATGTACCTATACTGAGGTTGTTTGGGGTGCTTTAAATAAGTGTACTTTTTGTCTTTTTGGATTAAAAAATTGAGGAAAAAAATATGGATGTTTGGGTTAACTTTTTGACTTTTTATGAAAAATATGTATAAAAAAATTGTATAAATTAGTGTATAGGGAAAAATTAGAATTGGGAGTTGTGCAGCCGTAATTTTTGATTTTTGGTGAATAATGATAACTTTTTAACTTTTTGAGTAACTTTTTAACTTTTTTGATTTTTCATGGGTTCCCAAACTTGGCCTTAAAACTTTATGCGCAATTTCTTTCAATAGAAAACATTTACACGGAGAACTTTTTTTTTAATAATATTTTTCGAAGAAAATGATTTCTTATGTTTCGTTGTTTTCTTAAAACTAATATACTAATGATTGTATTAGTGGTGGTGGCAATGGCGGTGGTAGTGATGGTGGGGTGGAGGTGGTGGTGGTTGGGCGGTGATGGTGGGGGTGGTAGCATGGGTAGCATTGGTAAGACTCTAATCTAGAAAACGTTTTTTACTTTCTAAAAATAAAAGTTATTTTCTATCCAAATAAGCTTATTTTTCATTGATTATGAAAAATATTTTCCGTTGTGCATGACGCCACAAAATAGAAAAAATAATATTTTCTAGCCAAATAAATGGAGCCTTAATGAAAATAATGATGATATGAACAAATGAGAATATCTCTGGAGCCTTGTTGCGCGGACATATACATTCTTTATATGCAGTAGTCCTCATGGTTGTTTTTTTAGTATTTATTGTTCATTTGACACACATACACACTAAATTTCAACTAGTAGAACTTTGATCTCATTGAGTGAAAAATATATTCATCATTCTCAGATACCAGAAGACCTCCATTTTGTGCTGAGAATGAGGCATACTTTTGAATCGCTTGGCTACCAATCTGGCTTCTACTTGTCCCAACTATTCTCTTCCACCAGAAACACAAACTCTTCTTCACCCTCACTTCCTTCAAAACAACCCCCCATTCTCACCCGCCCTCCACCGCCCCTCTTTAACTGGGGCCAAAGGCCTCTTCCCTCCACCACTTCACTCCTCGTGTCTCCCAATTTCCCAAACCCCACTGCGAGGCTTGGATTTCCAAACTCCAAAGACGAAACCCATATGTTTCTCCATCCTCATTCATCTGAAACACGAATGGAGGACATGATGGGTGATCATGAAACCGACATCAAGTGGCCCAATGGGTTGAGCTTCTTTAATGCCCTCACGGGGCGAGCAGATGATGCCAAGCTTCTGTTTGCCCCAGAGGGGATGGAAAACAAGCCCAACCAGATGGCAAATTCTAACTCAGAGGCTGTGACGCATCCTAATGAGTTATTGAGTTTGGATAGCCATTCAGAGAGCGTGAGGAAGATGGAGAACAAGTTCAAGAGAAGCTTTACATTGCCTGCAAGAATGGCCTCATCGTCTTCATCGAATTCGCATGATCACCATTCACACAATCCTATGGAGTATAAGAACTCTGAAGGGGGGATGTACTCTGATGTGATGGACAGCTTCTTAGGGTGATTTTTCACGAGGTCTATTATATATTTTAGAGGATCAAAGGGTGAGAAGTTGTATCTAGGTTTTGCTAGCTAGCTCTCTTTTGCTGCTTTGTGTTTCTGTTTTTGTGATGTTATTTCATATCTTGTGTTTCTTTGTTCAATTTACTGACATTTTCCTTCTGTTGTAGACTTACAGTTTATGCAATCAAGAAAATTTTCCTCAAAATATGTTCTTTGCATACAGCTGAAATTGAAGAGGATAATAATGACTCGACACGGTAGTTCAGTGAACGCCAAATCTAGACAGTAATGTTAGGGACGAAGAACTCAAATGAAAAAATGTCAAGAAAAAAAATGAAAAAATGTCAAGAAAAAAATGTGTGGATCAAATTTTACACTCGAATGTGAATATGAATACGTTCTTAATTATTTTTTTTTGTCTACATTATTGGTTCCTATCGTTACCGCAAACCTAAATAATTGAATTAGCAACTTATCTAATAAAATAATTAAGTTATTTTATTTTATTTTGGCAAAAAAATAAATAAATATTAGACGCACACAAATGTGGATTAGTTTAAGATCTTTCACGAGTCATATATATATATATATATATATTTAAAAAATAGAAAAAATTAATGAAACATTCCTCTCTAATTTTGTGTAGTAGGAGAAATGTAATATGTTTTTTCTTTTATTAACTAAGGTTTCTCAATAATTTTACGGAGAAAATTTGATTTAGAGAAATTTTATTAGACTCAGAGAAATTTCGTCTGACTCAGAGAAATTTTAATTTTTACAGAGAAATTTTGAAATTTCTTAAGTATGATTACAGAGAAATTTTGAAATTTCTTTGAGTCGGGGCCAAATTTTTCTAAGTTGAATTTTTTCTATGAAAATGTAGAGAGAAATTAATTACTATAAAAATATTGTAGTTTTTGCATTGTGATCCATGATCAATTAATAAAAATATCACGAATGTACATGAAAAAAATAATAATAATAAAAATAAAGAAACTTCATG